TCGAAAGCATATGTTCTCGTGCCATTTTCAAGTATTTCGCTCCACGGGAAATAGCGAGTTGAAAGTTGGACTCAATGATTTCTCGATGATTTTCCGGAATCCAACCCGGAAAATTTAGCACTTTTCGCAGCTCCACATGTCGGTTATGATCATACAAAGTTTCGCGCACGAAGATTAAGTTTTCGAGGAAAAACAAGCTTCCGAATACCTTACTCTATGGTCGTTCGAAGGTAGGTCGCGCGGCGCCAAAGGCGAGGCATGGAAAGAACTTTGGAAGAATCGGGTCAAAGGGCGCGATGCGTTGGAAGAATCGGGTCAAAGGACGCGATTTTGGAGAGTAGAGCTGAGAGGAAAGGATCGAGGATAGAATAGGATGCATTAGAAGTGTGAGAGGGTTGAATTCCTCTCTTGCTTGTTAGATTGCCGCCACCGAATTCATTTCGAAGAGAGTGACAATCGCTAGAAACACATAAACCGCCTTTGCCCAAAAATACGAATTTCTCGACAAGTAAACATTCGAGGAAAGTACAAGTCAAAATTTAGGAAACTTTTTTTGACTCTGAACGATTTCAATTATCGAAATCTGTTTATAGCTTTTCTCAAGGTATCGAGAAAGTTACGGCCCCTGAAGATGTTCGCATTTCTTCGAAATTTCAATTCACAGCATAATAACAGAAAACTCCAACTTTCGAGAAAGCCAAGTAGGTTGGTAGGTTAATGAAAGAGATCTCGTGGATTCCGAATCTTCTCGAATTTTTGGAAATGCCAACGTTGAAGGGACTTATGTTAATTCAATGTTATAATTTCCAAACCACTATTTACTCGGTACAATTTCAAGTTTATTTCAACAGCCGATCCGAGATGTTTCAGCCGCTCCCCTCGCCTTTACTACACCCCCGCGTTCACTCCGCAGGCAAGATACGACCCCGTCTGACATGGGGGGGGGACGAATCTCGCCGTACCCAACCATAAAATAGTGCCAGTTCTGCATGCAGCGCAAAGCGCTAGGAGGTTGCGACTTGCACCCGCCCATACAGGCCCGCCCACCTCTGCGCATGTACGGGCCCTGCACCTCGCTCGTCCACTGAACTCTCTCGCCTCTGTCTCAGGTCTTTCGTCTCAGCGCGCGTTTTTTGTTGTCTGCCTTGCGGGTCGCCCACGTCCGAATGCGGGAATAATGACCTTATTATTCGTGTTTTCGACGGTTTATACTTCTCCTGCTTCAGCAATTAATGTAAAGGCGTGTTAATATGAGTTTAAGTTCGGTGCTAACTTAGTTGGGGGGGGCACGCGGCGGCGCGGCAGTCTGCTCGCCTGGCATGTTCGGAAATCCGTGGGCCAGGGGGAGTGTAGCCAGTCTAGGGGGTGGGGGGGGGGGCAGTCACTTGACATGCGTGAAAAGCTGGAATGTTCGAGTTTACACTGTCTCGCTCGAGAGAGCCCAGGTGAGCAGACTGCCGCGCCGCCGCGTGGCCCCCCCCCCAACTAAGTTAGCACCGGAAATCGCGGTCCTCCACCTTCTTTTTGGAGAGCAGCAGTCATACCTAGATTATATTAGATTTATTAAGAGCATTGGAGACACCTAAAAAATCTATTCTATAAAATAACAAATTATACCCGTCCTAAAAATTACAGAAATGAGTTCAGCAACAAAGAACAGAGATCATTTGCGAAAACGAGGCTGAGCAGAGCGCGGTTGACTTCCTTGCATCATGTCACCTCCATAGTGTCATTAACAGCTCTGCGGTAACAGCTCTTGCATCATTTGCGCATTTAAATTTCCCGGAGGAAGTTTCTGTAGGAGCGCATTGATCACATCTGATCGATCGTTGAACACTTCCTTTGCCTAAAATTTTGCATCGCTGGTGGAAAATCAACACTCACAAACCGACACTATAAAAGTAACCTACCGTCTCCGTATGAGAACTAAAGAATTTCATGCAGCAGGCTATCAATTTCTCACCAAAATAAGCAGCTGCTTCCGAGTTAGAGATCGTCTGGAAAACGAAAATGACCAAAATGCAGGAAATCTCCTTTGTTCACTTAAGTTTAACCAAGAACCATTTGAAAGAGAAGAAAAGTTCCGAAAAACCTCATAAAATGATAAAAATGCGTGAACAGCATCTCCAAGCACGTAACGGTAGGACGTTTCACGCATTGACGGTAACAGCTTCTGGGTGGCATCAAGCACGAAAGGAAACGAATGGCATCACTTCCTAAAATGAACAAAATATTATAAATGAGCTCGGCGTTGCTTCAAGCGCCCCTGTATGGAAAGCAATTCGAAACACGCAAGTGATGAGATTTTGTTTATTGGTAAGAAGATAAACCCAAATATAGCTTCAAAGTTGACAATTGCAGACATATTGTCAGTTAGACCGCTTCCCCAGCGTTTACGGCCAACGTCCCACTCATGAAGAAAAAGGGTAATTAATGGCCAGGTAAACTTCCCCAGGCGGCTTCACGATATCGAAACTTTCGCTTCGAAAAATCCTTTCAAAGGTTTTGAAAGTCACATATAGGATAGATCTTTTTCAGGCTTTTGCTGTTGCTGATACTACACAATAATATTCAGAGTAGCCTGGTAGTTCGCTTTGTACTTTTCCTATTGTTTTGATCATCTATTTTAATTTTATTTGTTCCCAGACAGTCGGATTTAGCACTTCATGCTCTCGACAAGAAAATTGCAGTACTTCAACGTGAACGCGGATCGACCATGAGTATTGAATTGCGACTCTTTTTTTAAATATGGTAATAGATGTGACAATTCGCTTGGAGTTAGTAGGGAAAATTTCGATTATCTGTCGCTAAAAAAAACTTTTTGCCTCCACGGATAACGCGATAATGAGTCTTTTAGGAAAAAAGTGGCTTTTCCTTCTCATTTTTTTTAACCGTCGCACTTGCGGTGTTTGGGCTGCACTCGACGCACTTCTCGTTTTCCGAAATAGAGAATACATCAGGTCATCAGCAGGTTTGTATCACGCAGGAAGACAAAGTAAGTAGAAACCTCGCGGCATGGGATTCCTGAAATGAACCTCGATGAGCCGAAGCAAGCCCTCGACCACAGTCTTCGTTATCTTCGTAACCTGGAACCATCTGCGGTCGCCCACGAGCTCAACGAAGCCCACCGTAATACCTTCGGCCTGAAGTAGGAAGCAGCCGTATAGTTTCTCCGATAGAACCGCAGCAGCTTCCAAAGACGGCTGCTTTCATTGTTAGAGCCCTGGAAGGCTAATTCAAAAACATCGTTATGCTCCACAATTTGAGTGCGCTACCTTTCCGGCCAATAAGTAGGTGCGGCCCGTCAGGCTTGGCTGAGGTTTCCTAAACAAGCCTCGTATTACAGCTACCTTGGCTATCCATAACCCCTTCGTTTACCGATTGTTGTCCGAGTTCAGAGAAAAATGTGTGAATTGGACTGTAAAAATTCAAGGACCTCGACGAGCTCAGAATCATGCCATGTCAGCCTGCTTGAACCTTCCGATGTCGTTCTTATAGACCTCTGTGTACGTTCCTGATTTTTTTAAGCAGACCATTGACTTTCAAGTGGATGTTTTAAGTGAATTTGGCAGTGTTTGATTGATAAAATGCTCAAAGAAGAAGTTAGATTAGTTACCTGTCTCCCCCTCTCTTTCATTGCCACTGTATTGGTCTTTTGGGCAGTCGAAGGGAATAAATGAAAAAATAGCAAGTCTTGAGAGGAATCCTACCATGAGAAACTTAAGAGTACCTCCACAAAAGGATATTGCATATTAGTTCGTAGAATTCCGGACTCCCTGAGCTATAAGTGAAGGAAGAAATCTGTTCTCAGGCAGAAAATCGGAGCAATGATTGATTCAACTTCGTTCAGTGATAATTCACGTCACTAACCACAAGACACCTTAGCATCTATCACCACGTATTGGGTTTTACTTGAACTTTGGACTAGGTGGTTTCGGAAGACCAAAAACGCCGTTCCAGACCACTTTTTACTACCAAGAACCATGTTTCCTTCAGGAAGTACAGGCAATGCGCAACACTTGTTTCATCAAAACTTTAGAATTTTGATGGGTTTTGAACTATTCAAATTCAGTCACTTTCCCGTAAAATCACCTTTCGCAAAGCGGCCGGCATCCTTGTTAGCAGCGGAATCTGTTGCGCCATGGTGCCGAAATTCCTGAAAGAGCTTTTTTTCAAACAAAGGCATCCACGACTAGACTTATGGCAGCGCGGTGGCACTCACCTAATCATTACTTTTGGATAAGTCTCCACTAGTTGTGCTAGAGTTCGTACTGCACCCACTACGTCCGATTTCGCTACAGCACCCACTAAGTCCGCGATTGAGTGGATCCACCCGGCCTGGTCTAACCAACGTAGTCCCCAGGCCGTCTGCTATGGCGCCGGTTGACGCCATCGGTCGTCTGTTATACTTGCTTGATTGGCCAATGGATCCACAAATAGACCTAAACCACGTGGGAATTAAACTGCTGCCTTTTTTCGACATCTCAGGAAAACTGACATGGATACTTGAGTTGTATATCATCGAGCAAACTTTGAGCGTGCTTCGTTTCGTAATAAGAGCAAATCCGATCTGGCTAATGTCACTATCACTTCCGCTATAGGTACCGCAACTTCAACGTTCGTAAGATCTACCTGTAACACGAATGATTTCAAAAGAGGCCAACTACACAGCATTTTGATTCCTGGGGGAATATCACAACTTCAGTATTTTTCAAGTGCAAAACGAGTAGTTAGAGGCGGCATCGTCTATGGCTCAGCATTGCTCCGGAATGGCGAATTGAAAACACATTGAAAACAGCAATGAAAATTCACCAATCGATCAATAAGGTCAACAGCGGCCTTCATCTGTTGTGGATCTCCCATAACCATCTCGACCACGTACTGTGCAAGACAGGCCCACTGCTGGAGCAGTCCATACGCGGCAGAACTCACGAATTGCGTTCAACATGAAGAACGAGCAGACTATTCTTGGGTTATACCTGAACGAATTACTTCTTTTCTTTTGGGCTGAACGTTTCAGAATTTCAGAAAAGACAGTTTAAGAGAAAACCAACTTTGTATTGAAAGATGACAGTAATCTGAGGAACACTGTCTCAATTGTCTTTAACGGACTTCGAAGAGGCATCTGTGCTACCAATTCTTCTATGCCAGAATCGCCAAATATGGCCATCATCTAAAATGAATCTTAATTGTTATGTTCTTCTGTGCCACACGAGGTTGATAAATGGAACCTTTTATTAAGTGGCCTGACGTTTCGACCTTCTCGTCTTCTTCAGAGGCCAAAGGTTCCACTAGTTTTGCGGAGCATCAGCTCGCGCCCTGTCAGTAATATTAGTATGGGCAAAAACTATTGGAACTTCTGGCCTCTGAAGAAGACGAGAAGGTCGAAACGTCAGGCCACTTAATAAAAGGTTCCATTTATCAACCTCGTGTGGCACAGAAGAACATAACAATTTAACCGATCATGCCGAGGTTCCAACAAGGGATAACGTGGAGACTTATTGCGAAAACAAAAGCTGAATTATCCGTGTAAAGAAAGCTTCGCACCTGTGCGTCGAATTCCGCTGGAGTTGCACTTCTCTTGAAAATCTCCACGCGCCGTTGCAAGAATTTATTTAGAAGCCTAAAACAGCTTATGAGGTTACCAAACCCACACATAACATCGTCGACCTAATTTATTCCTTTGAACAGGACGAATGGTAAATAACTCGTGAACACTTACAGAGCTCTACTTACGGCCTACAGGAATTACTTTCGAGTGGAGCGCTTCGAGAATTTCTTCTTCGGTCAGCTCCTTAAAAACGGTTCGTTTTCTGCGCAAAAAGACATTACGGAACAGAAATATGTAAAATGAACATAGATAATCTACTTCTTCTTCTTATGACCAGCTGGAGGTGGTGCATTCGGAACGTACTGACGGAGATGTCCTTCAATGGCCGGTGAGGTCGCAGCACTCTTTAGAACTTTCGCCGAAAAAGTCGACAGACGTCGTTTTACAGAGGGAAACTGAAAACCTATGGTAGCTAGGAAAACTACTTCACGTTTATCCATTGCAGCTATTTACCAACAAAGTGCGACCTGTATTAAAACATGATAAGATTAATTACCTGAGTGAACTACCTTCTTCGCGCATGGCCCCAGCACTGCGAAGATCAAATTGAATGCTTCACGGTCGCCAAGGAAGAACTTCAAATTTCCTTCGAGATGCTCCACTACTGCCATGGCGACATCTTCAGCTCGTTGCGTATCGCGCCAAATATTCCAAGCCAAGAACAAAGGGCGCATTAGGTACCTAGGATAAGAACTTTGCACAATCCGAAATGACACTGTTGATAGAGACCCTGAAAAAAGAGGGTCGAATAAGACATGCAAGTAAACGGACCAGAAACTGAGGATAGCAGTGGTTAAGAATGAAATGTGGGCTAACTAAGGGCGTCAAGGAGATACGGAAGCACAAAAATACGAAGTTATTACGAGAAAGTCCTGTGACACTTCTACCCATTTTTGATTTTAATTATATCTTTCTTATTTACAGATTATGACCCATTGTCTATCTACTATGATATCCACCACTGTTTCACTCTGAGAAATTTTCTCGATGCTCCTTCTTCAAAACATAGAGGAGTGTCGTCAAAAAAGTAGGGGTCCTTGCTTTCGGATAATTCGATCTCTTAAAGATGATCATTGAAGGTCCAGAATAGGTGGTAGCCATTTAGGGCTCGAAGAAGACGCTAGATCAAGTAAGAAGTCTCATCGCAGCTAAAGAATTTCTAAAGTGGTTAATTTAAAGAGTTCCAAACAACTGCATTCAATGTCATGGAACAAACATCAAGATCGTCGCCCGGGTATGGAACGCTCGTTTACCAGTCCCTTGACAATGTTGGAGTCAGCGTAGACAATCTAACCTCTACCGTGCCCATATCACTAGGATATTAGTTTACGGCTTCTCTGGATGCACCCTACCTGGTGAAAGACGTGAGTTTCTCTCAAAGAAATTCCAAAGGAACGAAAGCGCTGGTACAGGTGAGACAGGCTATACTGGTGAACAGCATTTCCCTTGAAGCTATTGTATGTAGCGCTGGTCTTGACAAGAATTCCTAGCCATGAAGATGCACTAGGCAATGTCTCGGAGTGCAGACTGACTAGTTGTAGAGGTTTTTTGAAATTTCTTGAATAACTAGCTGATTGCAGACGCTCCATACCCCCTGAAGGAATGGTAAAGGCTCGCAGAATGCCCTACCATTCACTAGTATACAACGTTACCTTACGATTTTTCATTTGAAAAAAAAATTTGCTACGTGCTACATGGACTTTCTCATTCCAACCCGTAACTGGCGCGACACAAGCCAACGAGACATCAAAGCAGCATCATTTCATCGGTTAACGTAGCTCTAGGGTAGTTACCGTAGCTGCCTTCAAATGCTGAACCATTTCTGCACGCGTCATTGGCTTTGCGGGCGGCGGCTCGATGATCTCGGTAGCTTTTCTTGGCGAAATTTGATAGAAGGTGTTCACTTCCATTTTCTCTTCGCCAGTCTTCTGAATCTCGTCAAGCAGATTCAGTACCTAAATAATGAAGAACTGAATATTAGCAACTAGCAGTTCACTACTTGCTCTACACCCGATTTAGCGATGAGCAGTCATAACAGATGGAGAGTCGCCAAATCAAAACGCACTTGTTGAGCATGATGGATACCATTGATGCTGTGAATATTCAGCATCACTCTGGCTGTTTTATCCAACGACATGAGATCCGATCGAGTGAGTGTGCCTGTCTCGCAAGCGATTTTTAAAAGCTGTGAGGCATGCTCCGGTCTCATAGCGCTCATCTCACAAGCCACTTTTAGGGCCAGTGTTGGGTCCAAATTCTGCATAGCGATCTGGAACAATAATCTGCTTCAAAATAACATTGAGAAGAAATCAAATTCAATTAGAGATAAAACTACAAAAGTTGATACAATCGTGACTTCTTTCCACTTATACATTGCCAGCCAGGAAAGACCACGGCTTTTTATTATCACTCCATGGAAAACACAGCGATACCACTACTTTGAAATTAAGTTGAAAGTTTGAGCCAACTTTTGGTCTTTTTGTAGTTGAACACCAGCTTAGATTTCTCAAACGGACATGTATATAATACCATCAAAACCAAGTGCAGGCGTATAAGAAAGAAAGCGGACAGAAGTGGAAATGAAACGATTAGTGAGTACACGTAAAACAACAAAGGAAACTCGGTTGCTATTTCTTGAGTGTACTCCCATCCGATGAGAAGAAGCAATTTAATTTACAAATGTCTGCAGGATTCCAAAAGATTACCTTCACGATTTTCCCATGGTCAAACTGCAGCATGAACGCTCGCAGTTTGGACGTCAGTAAATCCACCTCCTCGCCGTCACACATCACTTTCGGCATCGGAGCATTTTCAGGCAACCAAACCTTAACTCGGATGTATGTAAACCAACATATGTACTGTGCGCATCTACCTGCAGAAACAAACGGACAAATAAATTGTTCACCTCAGCAAGTGCTCGATATGTACTTCCTTGTAAGCTGGAAGTATAACACAATAGCCGTATCAATGATTCTACTGCATCTGCCTGTCATAAACATCTAGAAGTGCTCTTCTGATTGATTCGAGTGAATAACTGGTACAACTTCCCCTCGGAATCTTACCTTTCGACCAGCTATTTCTACAGTATACTTCACAACAGCCTTGCGCCCAGATGGGAGAACAAAATCTGTCGGCCACATTTCGGGTGTTGCAGCGCATAATTCCACATAACGTAGATACACATCCAGCAAGGGCTCGGCCTTCGCCGGAGACGCCTTGCCAAAGTTTTCCACCAAAACAGCGAGAAGAATTGATAACTGAAACAGAAAAACGCAGTGGTATGAAATGGGTGAAGTATGAGATGATCAAAAATGATAGTGAGTCCAAAGGTACAAAACTGTAACACATAAATGCTTTTTCGCATTACAGAACGAGCGATTGCACAGAAATCCAAACCACAGAAAAGCGAAACACCGGAAAAGTGCATAAACCACCTTAAAGCCTAGCACAGATATTCCTACATACATGAGTGTAGCTGTCATCTTAATCGCTCTGTTCCTAATAGAAGGAGGTGTTAAGAGACTTTGCCTTAACTGTCACCTGGTGCATGTTCTCCTTGTCCATTTGAGATTTTATAGCTGAAAGCAAGAGATCCAGTTGCACGCCTTCTGAATCAAGTGCCGCACGAGCCAGCTGCGTAACCATTGATGACGCTATTCTCGAATAGAAGGGCGACGTTTGTAAGCCGCGCATCCATACACCTTCGACAGTTTGGTCCAAATCCATAGTTTCGTTCGGATCCTAAACAGCGTTTTTATAAAATAACAGTGAAAAGGAATGACCGAGAGCCTACCGTAAATAAAACAGTCAACACAAGCTTAGCACCAAGGCGCTCGCGGACGTTAAAAGCCGTTCGTTTGTCGAGGAGGAACTGAACGGCGCTCACACAGTCATCCTGCACGGAAGCATTGGCAAAAGCTGCCCGTACACGCGTCACTATCTGAATAGTTGAATATGGAGTTGAAGAGTACTCTAGTGTAGTTTGTCCTCAGAAAAGACAAGAATCAATTTGACATCAGATGACTGAACAAACCCAAAGGTAATGTATAATAAAATTATGGTCCTGCTCACTATAAAAACCAAAAGAACTCAGTACTGGTTAATCCAGAACAAATTGCTTAACCGAAAAACACTCACCGTGTGAACTGCGCTTCCTTCGTCCACTTTGGCTACTTTTCGCCGCTGCAGATCGTAGTGAAGGTACTGACATAAAGTTGATGCTGGCATCGCTTCAATAGCAGACGAATTGGTTGCAAAAAGTTCCTTGAAAATACCAACAGTTGTTATAGCTAAGATGATCACAAGGATTTACTGCCATAAGTTCCTCTGCATAGCTTTTGAGGAAAAATAGAGCATTTATTCAACCTTTCTAGGGCTGCCATTACTACGGCTTTTGGAAGGGTTTCAGGAGAAATGAGCTTACTTGTATTGCCTGGCATGGCCTTCGATGGACCAACATTACGAATAAGCTGGTCAACCATATCAGGCTGCCTACATTCACATAGTCTCGAAGCCATGCCACAGTCCACTGCTAGAACCTCTAGCTTTCGGATGACCGGTTCAGGTGGCCGTCGTGGCAGCCCTCTACAACAATTTTATACATCTGATTTGAAATTCACTGCTATCAAGCACTATAAGCCAGCTTCAAAGCATTTGTAGTGTGCAGGGAAAGTGAAAAATTCATGAAATAACATACCGTGGTTGATTGAAGCAGACCGTCCCCAACAACTTCGAATTTTCTTCGTCAATGCTGCATTTTGAAAAGAAAGATTCCATAACCAAAACGGCCTAAAAATCGAACAAACTCCTTTACCACTAAATAGTTTCGCTACCACCAATGCTCTTCCATTAACGCGTGCTTCGCGGGCGGAAGTGAAATAGTGGCATGAGCCGCCTCAACCCACGCGCGGAAGGATGGAAAAGTGAACCGTACGCTCATGCTAACCAAGCCCATCCCTGCGGGTTAGAGGTTTTGGCTGGCACCAAGACGTGCCTGAAGAGACAAGAACACTGACCAACATTCATCAGCTATTCCTCCTCTTCTCCCCCCGCTCCTCCCAGTCATCCAATCAATGGTAAAGGTCAGATGCGATTTGATTCAAGTTCCCACCAGAATATTTTGAGTGGAGGTATTATAAAATGCGTATCATTTCCCTTCGGATCGATCAAAATATCGAACACTTGCACTTCTAATCCTTCATTAATTTCTTTCTTGTAATAAACGTCTGCTCTTCCTATATCTTCTCCTTCTCCTTTCCTCTTACACCTCTACAACTTCTACATTTCTGGGTAACGGCATAAATACTTCGTCACTTAACATACAGTGCTTATTATTAGCAGAGATTCTGCATATTCACTAAGGGTAGTAAATGGCTTGCTTGGACAAGATGTCCGACTAACCTCTTTCTCCCCGTTCGGCGGTCTCTGTCTCTACAGTTTCCCATTCCTCCGGTGTTTTTCCTTCAAATTCTAACGGAAAACGAAAAGACCTGAAAGAAAAATAAAGATTACACACGAATACGTTTGAGATCACTTAACCACATACTTAACGAGAACCATGTGAATAAACAAACGCAGTTGTGGGTAAGTGCTATAAATCTTCTCCATTTCGTCGCCAACCTTTCCTAAAAATCACAGTTTGATGTTCGAAAACTAAAAAGCAGCAGCTAAGAAGTACCTGCACACGCCCACATCATCACTATGTACCACGCCTTCCAGTAGTATTTCTTTGTCGCAAAAAACAGTTAAACTCATCTCTTAAATAAATATTACAAACTTTTCTGTCGGAAACATTGACAACATTGAAAAAAGAACTCATCACGGCATAGCAACACCAGGTTGCCAGCGATATCCACTGAGCTGGAACAGTCTGTCAATTAACTGTACTGGATTCGATAACGTTATCAATGGGAGATGAGCATCTATAATTGTAACTTTACACAATGCGCGAAGTTTCTCATAGAAAAATGCGAAGAGAAGGGAAAGATGTGGAAAATTGTCCCGAGAAATGATCTATTTTGTTTACGGAGAAAGGGAATAGTAGTCGCATATTTACGCGAACCCATTATGATCAACACAAAATCCTTAATGTACATTGAATGATGCAAAAAAATAGAAAACACTTGTTTTCAATTGATTTCTTTTGTTCATAATTCTGACTATTAAATATCGTCTACAAGAAAGTATGCCAAAGTGAAACAAACCTGCCGCCACACGATTTTCTACAGCTCTCTTTGTCAAACCTTCAATGAGACGTATTGCTTCTTGATTGTCCAGCATTGTGATGTGGTCACCGAGAATCTACAACTGCAATTCATGCCACAAACGCTTGCACTTCTCTAATTGAATACACTCACCATTCTCAATACAGTTTCCTTCAGCCTGCACTCACAAATAACCTTAAAGCAGGTCATGTATTCCGCTTCAGTTGGACCTTGTTCCAAGGCGCAGTACACTTCTGGCTTAACAATAACTCATAAACAAATCAAATTATATGGGCCTACAAAATTCCTGGCAAAATGACTTACCCTCTCCATAAACAACAGCTTATGATAGGCCTGCAGATATTCTCTGGCAGATGGAAATATGTGTCGGACTCCTTGTAACCATCTGAAACAATTGCACACTTCCTCCATAAAAAATCTGTTTGTCAGTGAATTCATCTCTAAGGAATCATGTACTGATAGAAACGGCAACAACAAAAATCTTAACCTCACTATTCCTTCCAAGTACTCGGACAAGGCATTCTCGAAGCGATCATGAACCAAAACAAGATCTGGTGAATAGTTGGTGCCGGTGCGACGAGCGTTGAACGCTTCACGTACCGATGCACTGATTGACATCAACGTAACAGCACTCAGCAGTTCTGATGCACAACGAAACACGTGATCCTGAATCAGTAGGTCATCGAAAGCATATATTAGAAGCAACTACAGTTTTACAGAGTGCAACGGAACGTTTGCGTATATCTCAATAAATGGTGAGCCCAAAATTATGGCAACCAAGACAATGCATCACTAAATACGAATGAGCCTGTGAATCAAATCATCTTCAAAAAAGTGCTGGTCACCAGTCCACCAAAGCAAGCTAGGTTGGGTTAGAAATCTTACCTACGACATTAATAAAGGCCCTCAGTGACCTCTTCAAAAAATCAGATTTTTTTTGTTTTTGCTCCTGACTCCAGTTTTACCATGCATAAAACCCAGCTGAATTCGGTGAGTGATTAGCAGGTAAGGGCTGTTAGAAGACTGCGAGCACAAAAAACCGCTCTTTGCAGGATTTTTGTCATTTCACTAAGTGCCTTGTCCCGCTGAAATGTCCATTGTAATGTACTCATGTGGCTTTTTGTCTGACATTGGGTCTTAAGAGTGTAGGAGTGGTCTTTTACATCAACTTCCTCATTTTGGTGGTATGAAAGCAAGTTTTGAAAGTAGCAAGGAGGAGAACGAGCTTCTGCACATGATATTTGTCCTGCATGCCAACTGTATCGTATCACTTTTTTTCAGCTTAGGCGCTTTCTAACTTATTGAGGGGTTCAACCGTTACCCATAAGAGCTTCTTTGTTACGTGAAATGCTAGGTGTAGCGCGCCAGAACGTATCGTCATTTCAATTTGGGAGCTGGCTTCCCATGATGTGGTTATTTCACTATTTTGAGAGTCCGTATCATTTTTAGTTTTCGTGGTGGGAACAAATTATCCTGCATCACATCATGGCCAAAAAGGAAGGGGAAAATGAAGAGATTAGGCAAGAAGTGGCTTTGACCGTGCGCACTCGCGTTTACCGTAATTTTGGCCCATCCTGCAGAGATTTCATGCAATACTCCACACCCCTACGTCAGCAAATCACCAAAAATGGTTTGTTGAAAATCTGGAGTAAAGGAGTATAGAGTACAAATAAACAGATTTCAACAGCTTCTCGTATCGCTAGGGAGCGGTGTTTCCTATCCACTTGTTGGTGTGGAGCGGAGCTCTACATTTTACGTTCTGGTTCAGTTAGCTATCGATCGAAAAAAAGGATGGAGAAACCACCTACTTGGAGATACCATGCTCACTCTTGGCCACTTCATCCACTATAGTGGAAAGGTAACTATTGGCCAAGGTATAAAACGGGAACTCGTTCCGATGGAAGAACCGAATCACTTCTCGGAGCAGTAATCGCACAGGTTTGCAGTAATCTTCGCGTGCCATAATCATCTCGGAAATCTCCTCTCCAAGGACCTTAATGATTGCATTATGTTTAATATGAACTCATACTAACATTAACGATAAGATCAGATCAGAATACTGTTGAGTGGACAATGAAAACGGATTTCACCCCCTTCAACAATGCAGAAATGCTTGGATTACATTTGCATCAAAATGTCGAGCAATGATTAGTGGTGAAGTATGAATTTCAGATCTCTTCCAATTAGGGGTAGAGACAGGGATGATGGGGTGAGAGTGAGTAGTTCCAAGAAATGCAGACATTTAATGCTAGACCGGTAGACGCGATAATGAAGTCCACAATACAGGAGTGACGAAAAAGGAATCACCTTCCAATTCCCTTTAGAAACAATACTTATTGGTAACAAAACTCACTTCCGCAGCTCTCGTTCGATCAAATCCAAACATGCTGATAAGTATCGAAACGTTGTGAGGATGTCTGAAAGTAGCCTTACGCTAGCATCGTCTTATAAGCATGGGTAGATATCACTAGTGTGTGTATTCAGCAGGAGTCCAACACGTACTGCTTTTATCACTTAAAGGCAAAAGTCGGGCTCAATAAGGGGGTATTATGGCGATTGAAACTGAGTATAGAGATGCGAAGTGGAACGACAGTGGAGAAAAAACTGAGAAAAACCGTCGACAAGGCCGTTAACAAAACCCTCTTTCCCTAGCAGTGAAGGAGGCTGTCGGTTGTTTGGGAAGAGGCACGTTGAGGGTCCCGGATTTAAGACGCGGGCTTAAGACGGGCGCTTAGACGATGTCTTTCAAGGTGGAAGCGTGGCTGCTCCAATGTGATGGCAGGCTACCCCACTACAACCCGTATGCCACGGGCGGAACTTACGGGTTCCTCACGTGTCTTAGCCCGACGTTTTGCGCTTGAGTGTCGACACTTGATTACTAGAACTCCAAGATAACAGGGTAGAGGACAATATAAAATGCACCCTTCAGGAAACGAAGCAGGATAACAAACAAAAGAAGAAAGCCGAACACACCTTGACATCACATGGCCAAACTCATTCTCTAGAAGCAACCTGATAGCGGTACGCATATTGCAGTCGCTTTTACGAACCAACATCTCACGCAAAGCCACTGTGAACACAGTGGTTACCTGAAAACTGCTTGATATTGCCGCCTCACTTGTAATACTTGGAATCAAACAAAACGTAACAAAACGCTGACATTTTTATTCTTCAACATCCTCATCTGCAGTAATCGAGCTAAGACAGACTTCTCTTGAGGAGAATCGGAAGCATTGCCATAGTTCAAGCCCACGAGAATCAGAAGTTGCAGGGCTAAGCGTTGAAGCTGAAATATAATAACACTCACAGATACTTGCAGAAAGCGTCACAAACAGTAGCGGTCGTTTCACAAAGTACTCTTTAATACTTTAGAAGGTGGAAACATAGAGTGAAAAATGTTGTAAACCCGGAAATTACGTGGCGACCACCGCACTTGATAGAGGTCGCGTGGATAAACTGCTTCTGACCTGCCGTGCTGATCTTCAGTGAAGTATTGTGAAATCTGCTTATCCACGCGACTTCCATGAAGTGCGCTGGTCGCCACGTCAAGTCGGTAGACCCGTCCAATCAGACGGATAAACTCTACGCGGATAGGCTGCTTCCAACATGCTTTGCTGAAATCCTGCGAAGTAGGTTGACGGACTACTTGAACTCAGCCCTTTAAACCGCCTCTGCGCTCTCTCGCGGGTCCCTCTCCTCTCCAAGGCTTAGTCCTAGGGCATTCACCCGTTCTCTAATCGTCTGTGCTCTAGCCATCGCGGCAGGACCATTGAGGAAAAATCAAGTAGTCCGTAAACCATGTTAGAAACAGTTTATCTCACGACTTCTATCATGTGGGTGGACCGCCACGTCATTTCCGGTGACACCCCAATCAGACTTCGAGACATCGGGCCGTATGCTATCCTTCCCCGAAGCTAGGTGACGCAAAGTTTCCTTTAAATTTATTTGCTTTGAACGATGTAGTTTCTTCATTTTCAATGCATACCTACATACATACATTTAATGTAGGCCTTTTATCAGGGTAATCCCAGTTGGGAAGACAGAGAAAATTTAAAGGAATTTTCGTCCCTAACCCTTTCGGAGAGGATAGCATACGGCCAATAGACGTCACTCGTTGGATTAGGAGTATTTTATCGAACTGCTAATCTGGGCCCTCCATCTAGCTCCGAGAAAAGATAATTAAAAATGGTGAAACTAACCAAAAATTATGTATTGAAACAGTAAATCATTGCATACAGTGGACAAAGAAGAAAATGTTTAAAAAAAACAGAGCAGACGTAAATGAACATTGTTTACCTTCACGTGTTGAAGCCATCCATCAATTCGCTTTACTACGTTGAATCGGACTTCTGGAAGAGCCATGAGAGGGGCTATTGCACGCAAGAAAAGCGCTGGGGTTGTGTCCGCTCGCATCTCCCACCAAGGCGTCAATGCATTAAGGGCGATTGTGGCGATTTCTTCTTTAGTTGTTGTGGACGGAAAGCGGTCCGTAGCAAGCTGCATATAATGCATCTAAGAATCTCAATAGATACACTTCAACGAAGTCAATTGATAGAGCACAGGAGAAAGGGAGTGTTGCCAGAAAGAACATACCGCAAGGCCTTCCGGAATAAAATCCAGGTCCATTTCGAGATTACAAGCAGTAAACATTTCCTTCGTTGGATAAATCGTACCGAATCCTTTTACAATCTGAGTAGCTATAAATGAAGAGCTCGGCTGAAATGTACAGATGATGACGATGCCTGTTTTCATGGCACCTCTTGGCTCAGTACTTCGAAATCACAGGCTGATAGCACTCACCTTCGACACCCAATTCCGATCCCCTAAGGAGTCGTGCAGGTACGCTGTCACATAATAGGGGTCCCATATCGGCTGACCACTTGCCAAGGTGACTGCTAGTGCAGAAATCAGGCCTTGTCTCTCGGGTGACATCGGCTTCATGCGGCACATCAAATTCAACAAACATTTTTGCAAAGCAACATGCTTAAAAAGAAAACATCCTTCATTCAAACGGAAGGCAGTGAGTATTATTAATGGACCTGTATCTTCTCGTGGTATTCCTTGATTGTGAGAGCAGCAATGGTGAGCAGCTGGTACTCAATATTGAACTTGTTCTGGTCACATTTCTTATCGATAAAGGTACGAAATGCAGCGGTGAGCAACCGGGCCAACTAAACCAGCACAAATCTTACTTGCAAAGTTCCCCACGCAAAAGCAGAAATGTGAAAACTACTCACCTTATTCATCTTCCCTTGTTCAACTGCCTCTTGTATTGATGTAGCGTATGTTGCGAAGTCAACTGTAGTCATTTCGCAGAAGTCACGCCACGATTCATCCAATGGAGGACGAGCTCCAGCATTGAGACTTGGTCCCACTGAATAATCGTTCACCCTTTCCCACAAAGTTTAGTTCGTTTTCCATTCCTCTTACTAAGTTACTTGAAGATATAACACGAAATTGACATGTTCAAATTAATCCAAGCGATCTGGTTAGATAAAGAAACTAACTGGGTGCACTGCCGATTGAAGAAGACGAAGAAGAGGTCGACGGAAAAACTGACTGAAAGAAACACTCTTGAAAGGAAGGTAAATACACGATGGAAAGGAGGCATACATTTCAAACAGAAAGGAACGATTGAACTCCTTTTCCATTTCGTTATTAACGAAAAAGTCGGCCTTCAAAGTTAACCATCAAAACTGACTAAGCTCACCTTCTGCAACGGTTTCACAGGTTTTGTCGCCAAGCTTTTCGGAGCCAGCACACCGGAAGGAACGCTTTTCATCAACCCTTTTGTTTTCACTTTCGGTTTCAACGGATCATCCCTGTAATATGCCCTTATATCTGAAAATCCTTTTTGATCGGCAAGCGCAATATCTTGGAAAAAGTCAACAGCGGCCCAATGTTGCTCCGGGATGGGGAGGAAGGCCGGTGCCTGTACGGCTCCAATCCTCCAAATCCCAAGGACGGAGGTGAAATCCCTAGGATTGAGCTTTGGAGAGAAAGGCTCCAGGGTGGGTGAGCCAATGGCCGATGTCAGACTTTGCGATTGGAGCGATTTTGCACCAATTGCAGGAGCGACGGATCGCTTGAGCGATGCGAGCGACGGGAGATTTACCCCGCCGAATACCGATACACACGGCGCCGCTCGGGTAAATCTCCCGTCGCTCGCAGTGTGAGCGACGGGAGATTTACGAACTGATGGCGCCGAATTAGCGTTGGTAGGCAGTGTAAATCTCCCGTCGCTCGCATCGCTCAATGGCCGATGTCAGACTTTGCGATTGGAGCGATTTTGCACCAATTGCAGGAGCGACGGATCGCTTGAGCGATGCGAGCGACGGGAGATTTACGAACTGATGGCGCCGAATTATCGGTGGTCGGCGGTGTAAATCTCCCGTCGCTCGCATCGCTCAAGCGATCCGTCGCTCCTGCAATTGGTGCAAAATCGCTCCAATCGCAAAGTCTGACATCGGCCAATACAGTGTGGCAAAAGTTCGAACGTGTGAGATCACAGTGGTCATCAGCTGTTGATAAGGCGAGAGAGCGCAAACGAGAGCATCGAACTGGAGCGGCTTAGGGGACCGAGTTCAAGTAGTCCGTCGGCCTGCGTCAGATTCACGCAAACGCTTAGTCGTATCGTTAGGACTAAGCACTAGAGAGGAGAGGGAAAGAGGTTTTGCATTGAGATAGTTCTCATTGCGCTGTTTGGAAATCGTCCTTTCGTTTCCCCGTTTTCCCTTTTCCGGGACTTCTTAAAAGATGTCCCCTTCCCTGTGGCCAGTGCGTCCGGTGACGCGCATTTACAGTGCAACATAAAAATCATGATGAATTTACATGACACAAGGGAAGCCATAAAAAACATATCTTTTAACTCTCAAAGGAAAAGGAAGTTTGTCGGTACAGTTATTCAAATAGCCCGCCTAAAAAAATTTAGTATAATGGCATCGAATTATATAAAACTTCCAAGGAACTAACACAACAGACCGAAGCATTAGTCTTCCAAAACTTATGGGTAAGAACAATCAACCAAAATACAAACGCGCCACACGGTAGAGTCAGCAATCTGTAATTACACAATTAAGCGATGTACACCGTACGCGACGCGCGAAGTGAAAATATTTTGAATTACCGGCCATGGGCGGTGAAAGGTTTCCCTTTTTCCCTCCATGTTTGTTATGTGGAGATAAAGTGGTGGTGTCGTCATCAAACGTTGGGTCTTTTGTAAATGCAGTATGTTTCCACATTTTTCGTGAGAGCTTTCTATCTTCAAGCTTAGGTTTTCGTGTCTAATTTCCATCTGGTTAGGGTCTATTCCACTTAGGGGCTTTCCGGCGAACTAGTGTGAACTTAAACATTCCAGGCTTTTCACGCATGTCAAGTGACTGCCCTTCCCCTACCTCCTCAGGCTGGATACACTCCCCTTGACTCCGAGTTGCCTTAGCTTTCTGGAAAAACTGCACTCATGATTCGGTGAAACTCCAGTTCGGGGGGGCCACTCCATTGTTTCTCCAATACTCGAGATAAGGATGACAGCGCTCATGATACGTAACCAACTCATTCAGAGTATACTTTTGATAAGTAACGGTGTAATGGGAAAAAAGCCGTGAGATGCTTTAACCTTTCCGCCTGCCATGGTCCAAGGGAACGGTCCTGGACCGGAGAATGGATACCTCTTTCTAGGGCCAAGGGTGGAGGAGCTCCAGGGTGGATGACCTGGTGCAGAAAATTGTATAGGAGGTGGGCAGAATGTGTGATGGACAACATTTACCGGTCCTTATCGAAAGTACGCTCGAAATTAATCGTTTACTTGATATCTTATCCATGGTGTTGGATAGCCCAAAGTACCACTCGTTAGTACTACGGATAATGATAGCCATGAGTGGCCGCCCCCAACTGAGTTCCCGATTTCTTCTAACTGGAATAAATCCTGGTTTTTTATGTACGACACAGGGCCCCTTTGTAGGCAACATCACTTTTCTCCGCTTGTCGCTCTTTTTTCCTTTTTTTTTTTTACTCGATGTCGTTGGAGTCATCGTTTCTCCTTCTGTTTTGGATCCTCCAAAACTAGCTTTTGACGTCGTCAGTGGGAAGGTTCTGGTTAAGCAGCGTTGTACGAGTGGCGAATCTGGCTATCTCAGTAACTCTCTATTGAAGCTTCTATTCAGAGTAACGACATGGTTTACGTGACCACTTGGTAAATAAGTATTACCTTGAGTAAAAGTAAGTATATAGTAAAAGTAAGCTCTTTTAGGTTTCCTTGGAGGCTCAGTGGGAATTATGCAAGGTTCTGTTCCAGTTAAGAGGTACCATAACGTAGTTTTTCCAGGAGCAGTTCGCCGAGGAGCTGCATCATGATGCCCCCTACCTGGAATAGACCCTGATTACATACTGAGGTGTGGTGGAAGGTTCTCCAAGCTTAACTGCGTCAGGTGTGCAAACTCGCGTCCGCATATGTAAGGCAGCAGCGACTTCAAGCGACTGAGGCCATCTGTGTATCTGTGCTGCGTTCAATAAATTCATCATAATTCAATCGAAGTACGCAACTCTTTTTGGGGAAGGTTTCAAAAAGTTCAATAATTTGCTCGTGCAGTGTTTGGAGCTCCAGAGCTTTTCGCGAAAGCAGTCCTTTGCCTGCAGTTTACCTGTCCTCACAAATTCATGAAAATCCGCTTCGCAATTGTCTGGGAAGGCCTTGGCATCATGCTTACATGGTCTTGCGTAGCGTTTTCATGTAGGCTACCCTTTCTTGAGTTGATGGAACAGTGAAGTATAACTTGGAAGCTGACCCTTGGTCGTTGTCTTTGTGATTTCCTTATGAGTAACGCGCATAGCCTTCTCCAAAGACTTCCTATGTTGCTGGTCATTGTGAGCTGTGGGCCTTCTAAGTAGCCAAAAAAAGACACTTCGCCCATGGCGCACATCATCAAACTTTTCATCGCACAGGAGTGCCGCTGTTGATGAAAGTTTTACGGCAAAATATCCCTTAGATGTCCTCCCATAAGTAGAAGCAGGCCCTCTTCCACTGCCCTCACCGTCCTCAAAATATGACGTCATCTTCCATCACCGTTGAGCTCAAGAAGGCCTAAAGTAATCGTTCCAGCCTGAAGCTGCTACGGAATTTCTTTAATCGGTTAACTGACGATTGCTTCCTAGGGACAGTAGCTCTAAATGTGCAAGACCCCTTCCGACCAGCGTTTCAGATAACGTCGTAAAGGTCCATGATCCGCCGAGGACCAGTTGAGCTCGAACCGTGCACAAGGTTCCCATGGCAAATTCTTGTGATGTCCTTGGTGCAGAAAGCTATTATAACGTTTATTGATAGATTGGGATGTGCTCTTAATACTAAGTTGGGAGCAGTCGGTTTGAGTTTAGCAAAGTGTGATTAATGCTGTCTGAAGAA